AAGACAGAAAATAAGCCTCTACCAGGAATAAATCATTTTTAACCAAGGAGTAAATGAGGGTAAAAACTTTCCGTGAAGAACTGAAGCTGGAGCGGTTACTTACAGAGTTGGCAATGACTCGCCACCTTGGACTCTGGCACAGCACAGCATTAATGTTTAACAGGACTCTTGTTACAGGAACAAAGTATCGCCCTTTTCTGTTTTTCTTGTGTTATTAGCTAAATGTATAATAAGTGATACTTGAAAATACTACAAAGAACTCAGTTTGATGGACTGATTGAAAAAAACACTAATTTTATTTTTATTAGTTTTAAAAACAAAACTTGTTACAATTAATCACGAAGCTTTCAAAAAAGGTTACATTCTGCTTTTGTCACCTTAATAGGACAAGGAATGTTTACATGTTCTCAAAACACAGGGGAGTCAAAGTTGAGAAATAACAATCACTACAAACTACGGACCGTCACTTCAAGCACACAGAAATACGGAATACGTGTACGTAAATTACTGACCAAGTTTTGAAGTACAATGAGTATCCACTACAGCTTAAAGTACCAGGCAAGTATTAATGACAGGCCCCCAAATATAACACAAGATCACACACACATTAGGTGAAATGATAAATTCAACTCCTGGGTTCAATAAAGGTCGAAGTAAAATGATTATGAAAGTTTTCTCAAACATGGAGGGGCTGCATGAGAGAGCAGAGACGTCCATCAATACCCACTTTGGGGTGAAAAGCAGCGGGCAGAATATGGCACAGTAACAGGAGCAGCCGCCTTTCTCTCTCCTCAGTCCCCAGTGTGAGTTAGGAAGACTGGGGACTAGATAGAAAACAATACAGAAAAACATGTATTATCTGCATAGATATGAATCTTTCATCATGACGAGAACGAACGTTCAGTCCAAGCTACACAGGAGTTCCAAGAGTTCACAGGATATGATGCTGTTGCCAAGGGAAATGTGGGTTTACAAGACAGACCTCCTGTCTAACTTACCATACAAAAGGTCTTTAAACTTTCATTTAAATGAGTAGAGACACTTCGACTCAACCCAAGGTTAGTTCTCCTTAACCTTGGCTAGAAACTCTACTTTGAACATGACAATTTTATGATCTTGGTCAGTGGACCTAGCAGTGCTGTTGCTGTAGGTTACCTTGTTGCTTGTACATTTGGTAATAACAACGCTCTCCAAATTACTATTTCCCCTTGATTCATGATTAAAGAAAACGATGGCATTCTGATGAAGATGTTCCAGCTGACTCGCACTCCCAGGGGAGTTTAAAAAACAAAGGAGTGTTTATCAAATTGTTAAGGTTCAAAAATCTTATTCTTTACATTTATTTAACTTTTAAACAGTGACCTTCTATAACATGTACGGCATGCCCCAGCTGGAGGCAACTATTTCCCCAAGTCTTTTGTTCCTTTATATTGTCACACTAATTATAAGTCATTTTTTTTCTTTACTACAGGAAGATATAAATGCAAATGTGCAAAACAGGAACACGTGGGGAGGAAGAAGGAAAGATGGACCAAGTTCACCCGTGTGGCAGCTGTGAGGTCCACGACTCCAGTGGACAGTGAACCTGACGCACCACAGAATGCAGTAAATTTTCCATTGCTTAATAATGTTTGAAATTTTCCTTTTTAAAATAAATCTATGGTCTGTAAAAGAGTCTATATGAAAATA